AATTCGGAGTCGGAAATATCCGGATACATATTAGTGGGCGGTTTTCCGAAACGTTTCCGACATGTTTATACCTGCGTAATATCCAAACTCGGATATGTAATCCAACTCGGACGTCCGACGTTTTCGTCAAGTCACCAGAGACGTTTTCGTTCTAAATTGTTTTATCATTATTCCCAGGGGATATTATCGTGGTAACTGTTGTACATATTAGGGTACCGCCTGTCTGTAAATTGTGGTATAATCGTGCCATATATATGTATTATTATGTAGGTGGTATAAAATATAATATTACAGCGGTCGCCACTTATTGGCCTCACAGTTAATAGACTCAAAACGACTGGTACCGATTTGCAAGTATTATATTATGCTAACAAGCGGTAAAAAATGTCTTCTATTAGACTCGCACATCGGTTAATGATGAGTTCATTTTGAACCGAACAAGGAAAAATACAATTAACTATGGATGGAATTTTATCAAAAAATAATTAGGTACCTAGCTTATTACAATAGTTTACTACATTATTTTTAATCAAACTAATTTGTTTCTATTAAATACCCAAACATTAATTTTATTATTATACATTTAATTACATAATAGCTGAAACCCTCAATAAATATTGTTTAAGTCAATAAGTATGTATTATTTTTATTTTCCGAGACCTTTCACCTCATTAACTAATTCGGTATTAATGGACTCAAATGGTCTGGTCCCAAAGTGTGTCTGATAAGCGTCGACGACTGTATTATTATTGTTACAGACATAAAAAATTGATTTGATGGGCACGATGGTATTTTTTTAGGATCGACAGAGGATATTAGACTATAGGTATGATGCGTCGTCATTTAGTACTCAAGCTAGGCCAAGTCGAAAAATGACGACAATAATATTTGACGGAAACTCACAGTCTCGTTCGGTGCTGGCAAACTGCTTCGTGGATTTTCAGGCGGCGTGTAGGGGGGTGACACAATGGACGGATGATTACGGTAATCGTACACATAACGTCCAAAAACTATGGTGAATGCGTGTGCGACGACTCGAAACGAGAGGACATATTTTGTGTCGCATGATAAATGCGTTTTACTACTGGCGCCGACACTTCGCGGCAGTCCGACGTCATAATAAGGGTCAGGACACTGCCTATAGAGTCCTTATATAGTATAGACACCGTGGCAGTCTAGCATGAGCGAGTTTATGTGTGGTCCGAGGGTGTGTTCGAGTCTGTGTAGTTGTCAAAACTCTACGATTCGATGAACTTGAAAAACTCCTCGTCGTGGTCAAAAAGTCAAATAGTGCAGGATATTATAATATATCTATGGCAACAACAGCGGGGAATTAAGATGATCCATTTATCCAAATAGGCTTTGGTCGGTAGTGGAGTTATGGGGGGGGGGGATGCTTTGGGGCTAAAGCACCCACCGTCACGCATCATATTCAACTTTTTTTTTAAATTCAAATTACTTAGTTATCGCGTAGAACTAAACGTAGGTATATGTATTAATTATTGTAGAATGCCTATCACCAATAAATAGGTTAAATTTGTTGTTACCCCGAAGTAGTTGGGAGGGGGAGGAGCTTAGCCGCCCAAAATAAATGATTCAATTTGTTATAGGTTACCC